CAAAACCAACGCAGTCCTTCCTTTCCTTTCCACCACCCGAAGGGCGCGGTGCTTGCCGTACGGGCAACTCCTCGCTCTCTTTCCGAACCGGTTTTCTTTCCCGTGTCTGCAGCTCGGAGAAGCCCAACTGGGATTACCGGGCAGAGGTACAAGCCTTCAGCCACCGGCTGCGTGAGAACTTTTCACTGGACCTCCTCAGGACCGCGTTTGTTAATTCTTGTTATATTGAAAGCGAAGAGGCGAGACGCCGAGAACTTGGGATAGACAAAGAAACGGTTGCTCTTCATCTAGAGGACAACAGTAAACTCGCCGAACGAGGGATGTCTTTTTCACGTTCCTACCTGACGCGGTGCTTTGAAGGTGCCTACCCGGCTTTACCCGCGAAGGGCGTAGAGGCGCTTGTTGATTTTCTGACCGGTCAGGAGCTCGTTTCTCACGTGGCTCGGAACCTGGCTGTCCAGGACCTGACGCTTTGCAGAGAGTTCCCCGTCCCGCCACGCGTGCTGCAGAGGACGTTCTTTGCTGTAATCGGAGCCTTGCTCGGTAGCAGCGGGCCTGAGAGAACGGGGGTCTTTGTCAGGGTAAGCCGTTACTTGCCGCGCGTTTTTGTACTGGCAGCAATAACATCTGAGGGTCTCAGAAGTTAAAGGGGGGAAAAAAAAAAAGGGGGAAAAAATTAAATATTGTCTTGTACCCTGATGGCCAGAGATCCAGGGCGATTGGCGGCAGTTTGACAACGCCTGTAACAGGACAATTTAACAACGCGGTGTGCTGGTTGATGGTGGCGGTCGGGTGGGGGGTTGGGTTTTTTGGTTTTGTGTTCTTTTTTTTTTCTTTAAGAAGCGCAGGCTGGTCAAGTATATAAAATCGTATACTTCTGGTTTGTAACGGTGATATTTTGGTATTTGCTGACCCTTGCTAAGGGGAAGCGTTGTATTCCGTGCACTGTGCTATCAAATAACAAAGTTATTCCGTTTAAGGTCACATATATCTTCAATTTTAAAAAAACATTTTATATAAAGCAGGGGCTGAGTTCACGAGTTTTGCATGTAGGAGTGCAAGCACCTAAAGAGATTTCACACCAAAACGTTCAATTAAAACGCAGTGTAACAAAGTAGTTCTAGCAGCTACTGTCCTGTCAGTCGGCCTTTTCACTCATTTCTGGTTTTGCAATGGAGAAACGTTTGTTAAAATCTCATTTCTGATACAAGACCGTTGAGAGGACTCTGTAAGAGCGAGGAGCGGTTAACGGGCAAGAGAGGGATCCAAAGAGGTGAAAGTCCCGTGGGTTTGCACGTTCCCTTCAACCTGTTTGCGGAACTCTCCGGACGGACAGCTTCTCGCTTGGAAGCAGCGCCGAGTTGCTTACCTCGTGCCCGGAGCTGCGCCCGGGCGTCGCTGTAACTCCTCGCTCAGGCCGGTGCCGTTCCTCCTTTAGGTCTGGGCGGTTGCCTTGGCCCAAGGCACACATCCTGTCAGTGGCTAAAGCAGGACCAGGGCCGCCGAGCCTGGCAACAGCCGTCAGCCGTGCTTAGCTGTGATGGAGCACTGAGGCAGCTTCATCACTCATTTCAGCACCGTATTGCCAGCCGTATTAATGCCTCTTCATATTGTATTTTTATTGGGAGGCACCGGAAGCTAGAGCCGTCGTTACCTTTCCCATTGATTGTAACTTCTGCATGTTCTTGTTTAGGATTTTTTTATTCCCCAACTGATTGGAAAAGACCTGTTTGAGATCTGGGAAGTTGTAAATCCTATGGGCTTACTAGTGGAAGAACTGACCAAGAGGAATATCCCTTCTCCAGAACCAAGAATTACCAGGCAGCTGGGAGTCAGCACGGTTCTGCCACTGTACTTTGTCGGGTTGTACTGGTTAGTACAATGTTAATTTAAAGGGAAATGGATTTAAGCCAGGGGAGAGGGGAGGAGGGAAGATGGTCTTTTACTTTGCTGCTCCTGCTCTTCGGTCAAGTTACTACAGAAAAGAAACCTTGCAGTCACTTCCATCTAAAATCAGCCATTTAAGCGTTGGCCATAGCTTGCTGTAACGATGCATAAAAAGACAGTCTGACTAAAGGGCTTCAAAGTCTAAATCGGGCGCACGAAAAGGGTGTATGTTCTGGGTGACCTGACGTAGGAACTTTGTGAACAGCATGACTGAGTGGCTTTGGAGGGACCGCAGCTGTATCCAGGGCTTAGGGAAGGGTAAAGAGACGCAGACGCCAAGGGAGGTGGGACTGAGGAGAGGCTTATTTCACCTTCCAGAGAAGCTTTTTAGTTTTCAAATCGCGGGCACTGTAGACCAGGCAAGAGGAGCGTCTGTATGCAGACAAGACTTAGGAAGCGCCAGTCATCCCTGGCGCGCTTGCCTCGGGCGTGGTCAGTGCTTGTCCTGGTCTCTTGCCCAGGGGTAACATCGCTCCTCTGGAACAAGACAGGACCTTCCTCCACCAAAACCCACGTCACTGTGGCTTTGCTAAATGAGCTGCGGGTGAAGGCATGGGAAGATTGCCTTAACTTGTTCTGATTTATCGTGCTTTGGTTGAGCTGCCTTCTAGGATTTATTACCTTATATAAAAGAAAGGAACTCGGATTATTTTTCTTCTGGAATCCCCGGGGTCCCTTCATGAACTGCTCCTGTTCCGTGCCCATAGATGTTGATGAAACGGAGCTGTGTACGTACTTTGTAACACAGAGAACTTCTCTGTGAATCCTTTTGAAGGAGTTTTAAAACGCTCTCTTACCAGGGGAGGAGAACAGACAGCAGCGTTTCACTTCTTTGTTTCCGCTAACCAGAGTAATGAATTTGCATCTTTTTAACAGGCAACAAGAACTGAACACTGTAGAGAATCGGTGATACGTTAGGAATCTAAATGAACAGAGTAGCATTCTTCCAGGAAACAGACACATTTCTGATCTGAGTTTCCATTGTTGAACACAGTCACTTATCTTTGCAGGAAAGACCAATGGAAATGTTTACATTTGTGTGTATACAGAAATTACCTTCAGTATTCACAGGCATTGGGGGGGGGGGAATCTGGGAGCCCTTACGATACACGGTAGTGCTCAGGATTTCGTGATGAAAATGTTTTTAATTTTATGTTGTTTTTTTTTTCCCCAAGCGATAAGAAGATTATAGCTGAAGGTCCTGGTGAAACGCTGCTTGCTGCAGAGGAAGAAGCTGCCCGCGTGGCACTGCGGAAGCTGTATGGGTATACAGAGAACAGGAGACCTTGGGATTACTCGAAATCCAAAGAAGGATCCACGGCTGAAAAGGCTATCGGCAGTAACTAGGTGATAAAAGGCATTTCGGGTTTCTCTTAAGAATTAATGGCTCCCGTGCTGAATATAGATGTATTTAGGAAACCAAAATTCAGTTTGGTTTCCTGATCTTCAGTGCTCGAAACTTTCAAATCAAATACGGTATTAAAATAAATAAAAGTCTCTCTCCCTTTGCACGATGTTTAGTATTTGCTCATTTTCCTAAACGTAACACAAGCACCCTTATTCTGAATTTTTGCCTTTTGGCTGAGAAGTTTTTCCATACATCACAGGAGACCGTTTTTAATGACGTTTAATAGCGCGTGACAAAACCTCGCTGTATAGAGAAAGGTTTCGTGAATGCTTCCTCGGAGATTGCTTTGAGGGTATTGTTAACGAGATGAGTTGAATTACATATGCAACATCGGTCTTTGGCTTGCATCTGGATTCATTTGTCCTTGACCTCGTGAAGACGCCAAACGTCACGTCAATGATACTGACGCTGTTGGTGATGCAATTTAAAAAAAAAAAAACAACAAAAAAGGTGCAAATGGCGCTTCTGAGGTCTTACTGCCTGCGTACAATTTTGTTTGCCACACACACTGGTTTCCGTTGTTGGAGCACGCTCTGAAAGAGGGTGTATTTTTAATTTTAAAGTTTGTAAAAATGTCTCTATTGCACAACTAGAAATAAGTGAAAATAAGGATCACGAAGGCCTGAACCCAAAGAAATTGGAGACCATGCTTTAATGCTAAGGTATTAGGTAAACTACAACCTTCTCTTTTCTTTTTTTCTCTTCTCTTTTTGGTGCTTTTCCCGTGTAGTCCAGGTACTTCATTTTTCTCTTGTCTTTTGGCCGCTTAATTTAAGCGATGACGTGACTAAAGTATTGTAAATCAGTCTTTGTTTTGTTTGCGGCATCTGTAGCTGTTCCGCTGTAACTCCAAGCAAATGGAGAGTCACTTAGGGATAACTCGGGTACCTGCACGATGTTCCTATTAAACGTCACAGAAACTCAGTACGTGTACCAGAAGACAACAGATGCGTGAAGACTGTGACTCTTTTGGAATAGTTTCCTTTAAAATTGAGTGAGGGTCTATTACAAACGGGGACTGAGCCCTCAAAGGAAGAAAGGAAGAAGCTGAATGTGGGGTGGTGGTTGAAGAAGTGTTTCCTGCCTTATCCCAGCGTGAGCGCTGGCCGTAAAACGAGGCAACAGGTCAAGGTGCCTTCACTAATGGGGGGAGGAAAAAATCACGCGGGTGGCCATTCAGCCAGGTGTGGTGTTACTGTCCGTAACGACACGCATCCCTTGCCTTCGGCCCCCAGGATGGATTTATGCGGAGGGCACTCGGCAGCGAAAGCCGGGGTGGCGGCTGCGAAGCAGATCCGTGGCGCAGCGCAGCTGGCGCCTGCCCTGCCGCCCCTGGCGTCGGGATGAGCTCCGACTGCGGCCGACTCGGTGGGAACAGACCGATGAGCGCATTCAAGCAAAAGAACTGGTCGTCCGCGATCCGGGTGTGTCTTCAGCGCTCGGTGTGACCTGCATGTTGAGCGTGTACGAAACGCTTACGTGGCTGGATAGCAGTGAAGCCTTCCTTCTGCGGCCGGGCGCGGGAGATGACGTGTGTGAGAGCTTGAATATAAAAAGGGCAGCAGAAAGATCAGTCTGGCGTAAAATATGCATGAAATTGCTTGTGTTAAGTGAAAAATCCCAGCTAGGTAATCTGTTACCGCTTATATAAGCAAAGCCAATAAGGTCACTGTATTCCAGGGGAATAGTAGCAAAATCTGAAAAGAGGATAGAAATGACTCATGCTATTTTTAGTTCCCAGATGAGGTATTTCTCCTACCTTTACCTATTTTAAAAGGACAATAGTGAAGGTGGGGTTTTTTACATCCAAAGTTTGATCTACCTACTATTTTTTTACATACACATTTATGTATTTTGAGAGAAAAAAACAATTTTCTGGCAGTTTTCCTTAAAAGGATATTTAAGATTAGCTTACTGTGGCTTTACAGTTTGGAATATGGGCATAAGTCCTAGGAGAAGTGGATTACCGAAGAGCGTGCTGGAAAGAAAACTGAGCAATGCCAGATAAATTGATTTATTGAGTGGTACATGCATGGAATGTCTTGAGCTCAAACGGAAAGACGGTTTGGGGACATGGAAAGACAGGACTGGGTTTTTATAGAGGTGTGAGTGGAAAGGGAGTTTTTATAAGAAAATATGTCCTATTTTCAAGCTTCCAAAGGTCAGAAAAGCATTTTATATGGTATCTGTGCTTTATTTGCTGGCACTCAAGCATATATTTGGGGATTTACCGTACCGTTGTAGTAGTGGGATCATTTCCATACTTCAGATTAATAACTTTTTTTTTTTCCTCCCCAGATCAGTAGCCATAAGCAATATCCAAGTGGCATTAAAAGATTGGTTAGATTTATGGAAATCAGTATCTACAAAGTCTGGTGAAAACGGCAGCTTTTCTCCTACTAGGAACATTGTTCATGAAATTCCATGACAGTTTTGTCACCCGAAAAGTACTTTGTATTTGCTTGCATTGGTTCTGACCCAGGTGCTGCGTACAAGTGCATTTACGTTTCCCGGTGGTAGTTCCTTTCTGCAATCACATTTTATTTATCTTTCGGAGAAGGCAATAGATCAAGCAGCGTGTCAATAATTGACTGGCAGAAAGGAATCGGGACAGTCTATTCCTGCGACCCATTGAACAGCTCATTGATTATTGTTATGCATATTGTATTTGTAAACTTACTTAACAGTAGAAAAGGATACGTTCTTTAGCATTTATGGAATTTTGGAGTAGGTTAACATCATCTCAAGAGTCAACTTGGATTATGCTTTTCTGTACGCTACCTTTTAACCTTATCTGATGCAGATATTTCTGTTACTGTGTTTGCATTTATCCCTCCTTTAACTCCTTCAAACCTTATCTCATAGTCGAGATTTTTTTGTTAAGTGAAAATTATAATTGGGAAACCAGAACACAAATAACATTATTTCTGCACTAACTTAAAATAGGATGTCATGTACTAACAGCTACGTTTTGAGAAAAGTACAGTACTATATGCTAAGCCTTTCTTTTAGCTTTCTTTTCCTTCTTGATCTTTGTATTAATTTGCATAAGTATGCTAATACGCTTAGACACAGATGTAAGTGGAATTATGAAATAAATGGACTACTAGTCGCTACTCCCTTAAAAGCAATGGCGGTTTTGCTGTTGATTTTGGTCGAGACTTGGTTTTAGTCCAAATGCTAAATAAACTCAATGTGTGAATAGTCTTGGATTACTCCGTTTCTGTTACCTAGATCCTTTGTCCTTTTCTTGAAAGTGTTTTAAAAGCCATTTTATTTTGAGAAAGGTAAGAGAAGTTCTACTGTATTGGGGTCCCAGCTAAGTAATTGGAGACAAACTTCTTCATACGCTTTCATGCACTTCCATTAAGTTACTTCTGTTCTCAGGGTGTGCTTTTGCTCCTGTGTCTCGAGCTGTTCAGTAATGTGACTGAACACCCCGTGGTATCTCCTTGTTTTCAGCTGCAGCTTCTTCTGGTTACAATAACCAGATATTTTGCTGTAATTTTCTCTTTAAAAAAAAAAAAAGTCCAGGAATATTTCTGGTGTTAATTGTTGCTGTGACTTAAAGGCAGGAGATTTAGAAACAATCACTTTACAGTTATCTCCATGTTAATTCGGAGTTTGAAACTGCTGGTGAAAAGATAAACCTTTTATTGAAATTTCTTATACCAAACTCTTGGGTTTTATGATAAATCAAAAATTTAAATAAGCTGCGCTGGTGTTATGTTGCTATAAAAAGCCATGAAGAATTCAAAACATCAAAAGACGTGTTGTCAGTCTTTTTTTGCAGGGCAGGGGGAGAGGGGTGATGCGGTACAGAAACATTAGAAGAGCCCTATTTTTCTTGTCCTTAACTTCACCGAGTGCTGTGGTAAACTTTAAACAGGCTCCAAACTACCTGGTTTCTCTTATGTCTGAGCTTTGAAGTTTAATATTAAGAGATGCCTTTAGTGTAGAGAAGCAAACATCTAAGGATGGGTTGTTTTTATCTTTTCAAGTTGATTCCACTGATCTAATGGCGCTAGTTTTGCCTGTTCACCATTTCAGCTTGTCTAAGAAGTTGTTGATAAATGAGGAAGATAAAATGGTCACCAGTTGGTCAGTAAATAGCCACTGTCATAGTGCAAAGTTGCACAGCGGAAACACAGTTGATGTGCGTGACAGAATCGGAGCACTGAAGGCTGTCGGTGGTTCTGTACATCACGGGGCATACTGCAATGCAGCTCTTCGTGGTGCACCTCAAAACTGGGGCTGGTCTTCCTTGGGAAAAGGGTAGCTCTAGGGAGAAGGTAAACGTTCTCAGCCCGTTCTGTTTTAGTGTGTAAGTGTAATGTTTCTGCTAGTCCGTGGCAGCTGTGCTTCTGACCATGCTCTTGAACTTCCAGTTTTATGCTCAAATGCGTTAGCTGAATTACTACAGTGCAGGTATTGTACGACTATCAGGGACCTCCTGGGTCATCAAGACGATCCGTCACCATCGCAGCTACGTCATATGATCCTTTTCCCAAACAGATTGAGCTCCGTTTTAGAAGCATTAAATCTTTTGCTCCTGTTGCTCCAGCTGGGAATAATTACAGAACCGCACTGTTCTGACATGGAAATTAAAAATTATGCCTTACCTCTGTAAGTATTCGTTGCCAGTTGTGCTCCCTTGCTCTTATACCAGTGCTCTTTATCAGGAGAAATCTTGATTTTATTGACACTGGGAGAATTTTGCATTCAATGAGATGAAAATTTCATCGCGTTTCGAACGAGCTTGAGAGTTCCCCTTTGCAGGGCATCTCAGTAGCTCTGCAGTCCTGTGTTTTCCCCTAATTAGACTGGGATGCTTATGTAAGTCAGAGCAACATTTGTTTTTAGAACTTGAGTTACACGTTTTAGATTAATCATTACCTGACAGTTGTGGTTTAATACTCTTGCTATTTTGGTTTACAGTACGTAATTTTGGTACTTTATATAGGCAACCAAAATTAATCGCATCAATAGGGAGGTGCGTCTATTAAAAAATGGCATTCTCAGTAGCCATTCAAATGACTTGGCCAATTTTTATGTAGCATTTCTAACTCTCAAAAACATGCATACTTGCAAAAAAAAAAAAGTT